GTGTCCCACCACCCTCTCTACTCATCCCACCACCTTCTCTGCTCATCCACCTCTCCTCCTGCTCTCCCACCACCCTCTCTGCTCATTCCACAACCCTTTCTGCTCATCTCACCTCTTCTTCTGCTCTCCCACCACCTTCATTGCTCATCCCACCTCTCCTCCTGCTCTCCCACCACCCTTTCTTCCCATCCCACCTCTCCTCCTGGTGGAACTGGGAGTTTCCTACTTCCTAACGAAGCAGTAGGTGCCATAAGTCCTCATCTCCTTGCTGGGGAAGCCGAAGCTTCTCACCCCGGGGTCGGGGAGGCCCCCGCAACGCTCCCGGGGGGTGGTGATGGGATACCTCACGCTGCCGTCGGCCAACCACCCCCCGTCACAGCGATCCAGCTGGGAGAACTTCCAGGCAGAGTAGAGTTGCCCCACCTTGGCCAGGGCAGCTCCATGGCTGTGGCAAGCTTGGGCAGCCTCCTTGAAGTTCAGGTGGCCACGGATGAAGTAGACTTGACCTGGAGAGGGATGAAGACACAACAGGTGAGTACACATCACAGTGTCCTCCTGGGGACAACCCTGGTGCCAATCTAGGTGTTGGAGTAGCCACCAGAATGTGATCCTGGTTCAAATCCAGGTGGACATCAAGGCTCTGTGTTGGAGGAGACACCACAGTGTCCTCCTGGGGACAACTCTAGTGCAAATCCAGGTGTTGGAGTAGCCACCACAATGTGATCCTGGTTCAAACCCAGGTGGACATCAATGGTCTGTTTTGGAGGAGACACCACAGTGTCCTCCTGGGGACAACCCTAGTGCCAATCCAGGTGGACATCAAGGCTCTGTGTCACACTAGACACCACAGTGTCCTCCTGGTGCAAATCCAGGTGGACATCAAGTCCCTGTGTTAGAGTAGCTGCCAGAGTGTCCTCCTGAGGACAGCCTTGATGCCAATCCAGGTGGTCATCAAGGCTTTATGTTGGAGTAGCCACAACAATGTCCTCCTGGGGATAACCCAGGTGAATATCAAGGCTCTGTGTCAGTGTAGACACCATGGTGACCTCCTGGGGACAACCTTGATGCCAACCCAGGTGGACATTAAGGCTTCATGTTGGACTAGACACCATGATGAGCTCCTGGGGACAACCTTGATGCCAACCCAGGTGGACATCAGGGCTCTGTGTCACTCTGAGAGGGACAGGAGAGCCCAGAATTACCTTGAAGAGCAGAAGTAAAGCAGAAAGCATCAAATCTGTCCTTCTGCTTGTCCCTGGCCCCATAGGTTCGGACCCCAGGCAGGAGGAGACGACCCCCACAAGGTTCCCTGGAGTTGATGATGGGGTAGTGGACAGTCCCATCAAGGATCCAACCAGCATTGCACCAATCCAGACCTTCTGTCCAGGCTGTGGGACAAAAAGCAGCTCAGAACCAACACTTTCTTCTTCTTCCCCACACCCAGCCAAGAATGTTTTGGGGCTAAAGAAGCTTTGGGGGCTGAAGAAGGAGGTTT